TGCTTGGCCAATCTGGTGTTCTAGAGGTGACGGTGTGTCAAGAAGGATAGTCTCAGACTCGGATTGAGGGTATATCGATAACTGGGAGACGAAAAGATTGCTTTGAGCAAGGAAAACCGGAGAGAAGAGCAAATCCACGTACTTTTTGTGTCATTTGAGGATCGGAACTTGAGAGCGTCACGCCGGCAGCTGCAACCGCCAACGTGGACGCAGAAGCGAGCGCCCTTCCTGCGCGCGGCTATAATGCTTGGTTTTCAGCTACTTCTATTCATCATTGAGGCGGTTCACAAACCTTTGGGAACGCCCTAAACATGGGGTTGGTATTCGCGTGTATTCACGTCCGCGCCGACGGGTGCAAACGGAAGTTACCGAGAAACCCGTTCACGTGACATGCCATGCAATTGCGAAGGTTCTCTCAGAGAGCATAGGAGCTCGTGATGACGAGCGGATGACAATCAGCGTGAATGTATACGAGAATCGTGTTATCGTTAGACGGATTCTACGCAACGAAAGGGCCAGGGCGGTTAGAAGCTGCCTCTGAATGGCGAATCTCAGCTACAAGGGGTATGATCGAAATAGCTGCATCATGCATGCAAAGTATTACGAGGAGTGAACTTGGCATGTTCGGACGAGGCCGCTGTAGATCAAAAAACGAATGGATTGTAATCTTATAAGGAGAGACACTGGAGAGACTCGGACTCGAGCGTGACATTACAGACAAACTATGGCGTTGCAACTACCCCCACCACCTCGCGATCCCCGTGTTCACCTTCCCCCAGCTCCCGCTCACCCTCCAACCCTCGACAACATCTACGAAGCTCACCGATATACCGTTCGTATTATGCAAAGCAAGAGCAAGTTGATTATTCATTTCGCCAGTGCAATGCTGACCATGTCACGCCATCTAGGAAGCGCGGAGCCTGATTGTGCGACCGTTGATGATGTGGGACGTGCAATACTCTACGAAAGTTCTGCGGCGCAAATTGCTTCTGCTGCTGCCATTGGTCCTGGTTTGTGAAAAGTTCTTCGCCCCGATGTGTGTTGAAAACTTTCGCTATTGAAGCTGTAGCGCCTCCCTGGTTTGCGCCGGTTCAGCAGCAACAGCTGAACGGTATTCAACAGGAGCAGAACAATATCCGACAGCAACTTAATCGGATTGATAACAAGGCATCACGAGTATGTCCGTACCGATGTCTCGACCCTCTCTTGACCCTCTATGTGCTACCCCTAGGCTCTCAATGCTACAAATGAAGATGGATTAATCTTCCCCTTTGAAATCGTCCTTTTTGTGGACGGAACAAATCCTACGGCACCTCCTGTTCGTACTTTTTTGCTTGATGATGGACATTGATGACCCTTGACAAATAGCATAACCTTCCCGCTCTTACTTCAACTGCAATCATTGACGCTCTGCAGGGGGTTCAGATTACTGAATATCTCAACGGTTATGGTATTCCGGTACCGCATCTCGTTGCTGAAAGCCGCCGCATCCTCAGTGCTTACCTTGGATGCAGACAGCTATAAACACATGGATTATTATCATTCACACATACATAGCGATACTTCAGCCATTTGCACCACATTACCTACCATTACTTAGTGATACATTATTGACAACAAGTATTCCAAATCTAAAACAGCTGAGCAGATTTCAACCTGGGCATCACATCTCAGAAGTGAACGCATCCAAAAATGCCGAAGCCCAGGTGGGCCAAGCGTCCTTCTTCCTAGCCTCAATATCCTCTTCGATTTGTACGAAAGCTCCGGTAGCTCCCTCGACAGTAGCAAACTCAGTGCATACCCGGTCTTCGGGTACACCGTTGATCAACCTTCCAACAATATCCTTCGTACCGGTGAGACTACACGTCGAATGAGGCGATGTCGGAATAGTCACGTTCCACCATTCAAATTGTTCCCGGAGCTCAGCAGCCAGCCGATGCACAGGAAAATCATCATGGTCACAGTCATCGTACCATAATTGGCTTGCCGGATCACGTCCTAGATGTGAAAAAAACGGTTAGCTTTGAGCATTAACTGGGAATGGAGAGACGTGCCTAACCCAGCTGAGAGGAAAATTTGCTCCCCTTTACACGTCGTCTTCGCCTTACCATTGAACTGAATGTATGCGCACGATCCGTCAACATCGGTATCGATACATCCTCCTCCACCATTGGGATCATTTTGCCATTTCACAATCGCAGCGTATGTTTCAAACATCATCTCTCCCTATTAAATAAACAGATGAGCAGATTTAAACACAAGACTCCATCAGCGCAACGAACCTTATCATGTGTAGCATCCGTTTTCAAATACTCCGTCTTTGATTTCGGATCAACAACACAATCCGTAGGCTCGAGGAACGCCTTCCGAGACCGTCCAGGGATATACAAACTCTTCGCTCCCGTCTGTTCGAAAACATACGTAGCCTGTGCCGCCGTATAGAGGTCATAAACCGGATGAGGCGCCGACAAGTGCACACTCGTCCCAACCACCCCATTCGGATTCTTCCGGATGGGAACGACGAAAAGTCCCCAGCCTTTTCCGTATTCCTCGCCGTCGCCATGATCCCCGCGACGATGGACGGTGTCAACTTCCACCAAGGCGCAAAACTTCCCATTGTCCACTTCCGTCACAGTATATATGCCTTGCAGTTCGTGCGGAATACTCTCCCGGATAGTATAACAATCAGGGTGTTCGTAGTCCTCCGCGTTTAATAGGGAGGTTACGACGTCTCGCCATGCGGTCCTTTGTTGATCAGTTGGCTGGATGGCTGTATATGTCTCTGAAGTGAGGTTGCCTTGGATGATCAGCGAGAGGTGGTCTGCTAGGAGGGATGATAGGTCCTGAGTCCGAATCGCCGCTGGGTGTGGTATCGGTACATTGGGGGCTCCCCCGATCCAGGGAAGAGTTGTGAAAGAGGACAGTAGAACCGTCACGAAGGAGGGAAGAACCATTTCGATAACAGCACTGTGTGTGCGACGGGTATGCTTAAATGGGGAAGAAAACTCGAGCGGGGTTAAGACGCTACCCTCCTTGTTCGTCTCCGGCCTTTACGTGGAACCGAATAACGAATGAACATGAGGTAAAGAACCGCCGAAGCTAGCCTTCAATTATACGTTAAAAACATCAGAAATTCAGGGGCCCTTGATTTAATTTGTATCCCGTGGTCTGCCGTACTTTCACTTTTCCAATTTGGTGATCCGGAGAAAAGATAGTCTCTGAGTCATGTTGAGCGTATAACAACGACTAGGGTGCCTGCACAGTTATTGATCTTTTATTCAACATTGAAGAAACTTACGAACCTTTGGGAACGCTTGAGTTTACTCTCAAGGCATCGCCGAGTGGCAGTGCCAGTTATTTGTCCTCGATAGATTGTTTGGTTTTACTGGTGTTGCCAAATAATCCCCTCGGCGAGAGGAAGGAGAAGAACCGGAAGGCGTTAGTGTATTGGTATTGAGCATTCCCAATTTCAATGTTTTTTGAACGCATCCAAAAACACCTCAACCCAAGTGTCCCAAGCTTCCTCTTTCCTAGCCTCTACATCTTGTTCGATGTGCACAAAAGATCCGGTGGCTCCTTCCGTAGTGGCAGAATCTGTACAAACCCGATCTTCAGGTACACCATTTATCAGCCTCCCCACAACGTCCTTTGTCGCTGTCAGGCTACATGACGAATGGGGTGATGTTGGCATAGTCACGTTCCACAAGGGGAAGCGCTCCTTGAGGTGGGTGGATAGCCGATGAATAGGGAAATGATCATGAGCGTGATCAGTGTACCACGATTCACTGGCAGGATCGCGTCCTATATGTGATAGGTAGTTAACTTGGGCATTATTGTCAGCAGAAACGCGTACCTAATCCAGCTGAGAGGAAAATCTGTTCCTTTCTACACGTCCGTTTTCCCTTTCCGTGGAACTGAACGTATGCACATGACGCTGACCCTGTGTCCGCATCCTGACAGCCTCCCCCACCACTCGGGTCGTTTTGCCAATCCAGGATTGCCCTATAGGTTTCGAACAGCATCTCTCCCTGCAAGCAGATCAGATCAACCATCGGTTCGTGAGCAAAGCATAAACACAACCAACCTTATCATGTGTGGGATCTGTTTTCCAGTACTGGCTTTTCGACGTGTTCGCAACACAATCGGTCTCCTCGAGAAACGCTTGGCGAGATCGTCCAGGGATATACAAACTCTTCGCTCCCGTGTGTTCGAAAACATGCGCAGCCTGGCCCGCCGTGTATAAATCAAAAACCGGATGGGGAGCCGCCAGGTGTAGAGTCGTTCCTAGTGCGCCATTTCCGTATTTTCCGGTGGGTACGACGAAAATACCCCAGCCTTTTCCGTACTCCTCGCTGTCCCCACGACGGACAGTGCCAACTTCGACCAACGCGCAGAGCTTGCCGTTGTCCAACTCCATGACGGTGTAGATTCCTTGCAACGCGTCGGGGATAGCCTCCTGGATGGAAAAACAGGCAGAGCTCCCGCCGCCAGCAGCTACGTTCAACAGGGAGGTCACGACGTTGCGCCATGAGACCCTTTGTAAAGGTGTAGGTTGGATTGCTGCATATGTGTCCAGTGTGAGGTTGCTTTGGATGATCAACGAAAGGTGGTTTGCCAGGAGAGATGATAAATCTTGAACCGGAGTCTGTACTGGGAACTGGTGACTGGGTGAAGAAGTTGTCGGCACGTTGGGGTTGTCAAAGGGGTATCCCAAGAACGAGGGTGTCGTAAAACAGGACAGCAGGGCGGTTACGAAGGAAGAAAGGATCATTTTCGAAAGAAATAGAGATATCTGCGATACAGTGTTGGTGGATGGATCTTTTGAATGAATGTAGGACTCACGTATGCCGTCAAAGTGGAAGGGCTTGATAGCAGATGAACACATCCAAAGAAAGGAGAGCGGGACTGCGAGAGGGAAAATTCGAAGAGTTAGTTGTTTGAGACCTATCGACGGCCTCACGCTCGAAAGAAAGACATGAAGGGTAGAAAGTTGAAAAATATTCGGATACGGGGAATCGAACCCCGAGCTGCCGCGTTCAGTCTCTCACGGTGAGAGGCGGCAATGTTAGCCTTTACACCATATCCGATATGGTAAGTCCTTCGTATAGCCCCCCATCTGATGAATGACTCGATCTACCCTCGACTCTCGAGTCAACTTCACGTTTTACGTTTGGACTGTCCAAAATTGAAAAGAGGAAAGCGTTTGCTGGAATTTGTGCATAAAACTTCAGGTGCTACTAATCCGAGGTGATAATAATTTCAACCTCCATGCGTTTGAAAATTGATGGCTCCCTCTACGGCTTTTAGGTACTACATCCTCAAGCAGGCTGGCATCAAAACTCCGTACAACTGATCATTTCTATCCGAACACCGGCAGTTGATCCGACTCAACCGATCACGAACCACGACCTGCTAAATATGTTATATAAACCTCATTTTTCTGCATTGTGCCGGCAGGGACAGGGCGATCTAAATCGCTTCCCCCTCTTTGCTCCCCACCACTGTTTTTGTAAAACTTGGGCGCTGTCAACAATCAAGGCCACAGAATGCTACGAGCCCTAGTCAAGAACAATGCCGGTCTCCTCCTGGTCGTAGCGTCCGAAGTGTTCTTTGTATTCATGAATGTATCAGTCAAGGTTCTCACGACAGACGGAGAGTCTGAGGTTTCTATTTTGGAGGTATCTTTCTATCACAGGTCTTTTTTACGTACCAGATCCTTACCCGAGTTCCTTAGATTATATTGCTCAGGATGGTGAGGTCTGAAATATATAGAGGAACAGGCTAAACATAAAATTGTGCTACGAAGATTGTAACTTATGTTTTCTCGGTTGCGTATATGTGAGTCCTGACCCGAGTTAGCTAACACAAGCGAACTCACCCAGGATAAGGTATTGCTCAGGAATAAGCGATCCAATCCTCGGCCCACCGGGGGTTCGGTTGTTACTTATGAGCCGTGGTTTTTTTGGGTATGCACTGAATTCGAATCGTTGATGATAGCTTACTATTTTCTAAGATTTATTGGTCTCTTCGGGATCTACTACACACTGCAATTCCTTTCGCTCTCCGATACCATTGTCCTTACTTTCCTTGCGCCGTTATGCACAGCAATTGGAGGTTCAATCCTTCTCAAGGAGAGATTCAGAAATGGAGAAGCATTGGCAGGGAGTTGCGTGCACCTATCATCTATTTTGGTTTTAAGATGCTCACGTCGTTCCAGTGGTTTGTCTACTCGGCGTTGTTCTGATAGCTCGACCACCGTTCATCTTTGGTTCCGATGATCATCCAAATGAGAAAGACTTAGGGGCAGTGATTGAAAATGGTGTGACCGCAGAACAGCGGATGGCTGCTGTTTGGTGTGTGTTCCCGTTATTATCTATCAAGTTTTGGGCTCACCCTGGCTATAGCGTTTCTCTAATTGGTGTCATCGGGGCTGCCGGTGCATGTAAATCTAAATCCGTATCCTTCAAGTGGTCCTATGAATTAACTGCGTTGCTCAGTCATTTCAATCCGCGCAATAGGAAAGCGTGCCCATCCCCTCCATAACATGGTCTATTTTTCTTTTTGGAGCATCGTTGTGTCTTCCGTTGCGTGAGTTCATTGTCGAAGTTATATTCCCTTCTATTTCTGACATGACTAGCTTAATCGCAACACGTACTCCCATCATCATCCCAAGACAGAAGCTATTTCTCGCCATGCTTTCCCTGATCGGCGTCTTTGGATTTATCGCCCAAACGCTCATGACCATGGGCTACCAAATTGAAGCGGCAGGCAGAGCCTCCATGGGTGTATACACCCAAATGATTTTTGGAGTGATTTTAGAACGACTTGTGTTTGGGACTGTACCAGGTCCTTTGTCGATTCTTGGGACATGTCTAATTCTGGGTTCAGGGTTGTATGTTACGATGGCGAAGGCGACGGAGGGAAACGGCGCTAGTACCGACGGCAAGATCGCATTACCGGAAGGGGAGGATGTCGAGAATGGCCCGACTTTATTTGAACCATACGAGGACGGGGATATGGATACCAACGAATGAATGTCGAAGCGAATAAACTTGGGAGTCTGAAAATTTATAACTTACCCCAATTAGAAGTGATGAAAAGAAACAGATGAAAACGTCCATGACGAGGTCCCGTACATCGACTCTCCTGGTGTTCAGCAGACACACTTCATCAAAAAGATGTTATGTGGTTCTTGAATCACATTCCAGGCTACAATAGCTGATGATCTCGAGCTGCTGCTCTCCATGACATTATCCTGACCGAGCAAGTAGCCGCAAAGGTGACACCAGTAGGAAGTTCTCTGCAGTTCGAGACGCCGAATCCCAATCAGCATAAAAACATATACTGAGTCTGAGCGGCTTTCCACGTTCTTCGCCAGCAGCAAGAATTTCCGCTTGTCAACCGGTCCATAGTAGCCTACCTACCCGCCCGCGAACCTTATTCTCTCGACACGGCAATTGGGTTTCATACGGCACATTGGAACCGTAATCCCGCGTCTAGAAGAAAGCGGACTTACTGGGGCAATAGAGTGTGTCAGTGATTTACTGTTTAGAGGTTGAATCAACGTACGTAATTTTTATTTGTTACGTTACCGATGCCCAAACATATATCATAGAGGTCACCTCTTGAATAGTTGCTTGCCAGAGCTTGGGATGTGCTGGATGCTGTTCAGGCCAGTACAACCATAGACAAATATGCCGCAAGTGCTGTGGGGAACACCAGCGTCGAGGACATTAATAGATCCGCAGCCAGCGGATAGCGAGATGGGCGTCGCTGATCAAGGTACGCGTCATGATAACAACGCAAGGTGACATCGTGAATGACGTTAAAGGCCACTTTAGGGATTTGAATGCACGTAAGTGAGTAGGAACTCACTCGGGCCACCAAGTTCGCCTCCGGGCTTGGTGAGAAACTGACAAAATCATTGGAGTGGCATATGGGCTTGAGTGCCGATTCGACTAAGTAGCTTTTAATGGTTGCACGTACCATTTACGTACTGAAGTGGTTGACAGTGACTCGATGGTGCGAAAATGATCATCGAAAATGATCATGACAGGAATCGGGGCCCGAGGTGACGCGGTTAACTCCTTCTAATGAGAGGCGGCGATGCTAGTCTGACACCGTATCCGAAGAAGTGTTTAATACTCGTTTGCTTTCTGCGGCACAATAACATACCCGTCTCAAGTTTCTATCTAGGCTGATCGACTCCACAGTCGGCTCTGGCACGGATCTGGCACCAGTGTGAGAACCATGCTAAACCGAATAAGATCCTAGTATCTTATCTTATCTTGCGGCCTCGCCTTGGCGCTTAGTGCAGCATCAACGTACTTACCACTGGCATTATCCACACGCCATCCTCAATTTATCCGCATTGCCCCCCTGGATTGGATCAATGAACTGAGTGTGACTATCTTGCGAGTAGCCGTGCCAACGGTTAGTGCCATCAGTGGTGTCACCGCTGGCAGCTTGCATAATTGCTCACAAGCTCGTCTAGGAACAAAGCTATGTATCATGCCCTAAATTCGGCCGCCCCGGACCACCTTTTTTTCGGTTCAAGTTATTTCTGGCTATCCCCCGCTCGCCTATAATTAAGGAACTGTTGAACCGAATAGCAAGGCCTCAATCAATTTCCTCGTTGTTTCGCTCATAAAACCCCAGCGAATGCTAGCTATCCAGTTGAACGACTTCAAAACATAAATGTTGCGAGCTCTAATCAAGAATAATGCTGGCCTCTTCCTGATCGTCGCATCGGAAGTGTTCTATGCGCTCATGAATGTATCAGTCAAGGTTCTTACGACACACTGGCAAGAAGAGTTGCAAGTTCCCGTTTTGGAGGTATTTTTATAACAAATCAAATCCCGTACAGTTTCTTACTTACGTTTCCAGATTATATTGCTCAGGATGGTGAGTTCTGATGATTACCCGATATCCCAGGAATGAGCTTACTTACGTTTCCAGATTATATTGCTCAGGATGGTGAGTTCTGATGATTACCCGATATCCCAGGAATGAGCTAAACATAAAATCGTCTGAAGATCGTAACATACGTTTTCTCTGTTGTGTACATGTAAGTCTTAATTCGACGCCTAATACCATCGAACTTATCCAGGGAAAGGTTATGCGCGAAAATAAACCAGCCAATCCTGGGCCCACCTGGCGTTCGATGGCTGCTCATGAGTCGTGGTTTCTTTGGGTAGGCACTGAATTCAAATCATTGACGACCGATGATAACCACTCACTCTACCCCAAGATTCGTTGGTGTCTTTGGAATCTATCACGCATTGCAATACCTTTCGCTCTCCGATTCCATCGTCCTTACTCTCCTCACGCCCTTATCCACGGCCGTCGGTGGCTTACTTTTTCTCGAGGAGAAATTCAGCAGGCGAGAAGCATTGGCAGGGAGTTGCGTATATTTACCAACCATTTTTGACTTTAAATAAGATGCTGACCTTCTTTTTTCGTTCTAGTCGTCAGTCTAATTGGCGTGATTTTGATCGCTCGGCCTTTTGGACTCGACGGGCACACTAACAGAAACGATGATGACGAGAGCATAGGACAGCGGACGGTGGCTGTTTGGTGCGCTCTTGCCTCATTCTTTATACTTTTCCAGGCTTAAACTTGATGTAGCACGGCTTTACTTAGCGTCCTTGGAACTTCCGTCGCATGTAAATCAAATTTCTTATCTATAAAATGGCGCTATAATTGACAGCATTATCTAGACATTTCAATACGAGCGATAGGAAAGCGTGCTCATTCCCTCCATAGCATGACCTATTTCTCTTTTTGGAGTGTCGTTATGTCTTCTGTTGTGTAAGTTTCTCTCACGTCGAATTCTCCAGTATATCTGACACGGCCCCCAGCTTGATCGCAACACGTACACCCATAGTGATCCCCAGACAAGAGTCATTTGTCTACATGCTCTTCCTGATTGGCATCTTTGGATTTATTGCCCAAACGCTCATGACCATTGGTTACCAAATTGAAGCGGCGGGTAGAGCTTCGATGGGTATATACTCCCAAGTGGTTTTCGGAGTAATTTTGGAACGCCTTGTGTTTGGGACTGTGCCAGGCCTTTTGTCGATTTTGG